ATGCCTCACCTGTGAGGTGGATGGATTATCTTGGCAAAGGAGAAGTGCTCACTAACACAGATTTAGACAGATTTGTGAACAATATTTGAGAGAAATAGGCCTTTTGTGTACATAGAAAAAGTCTTAGATCTTTGAGTTCAGCTCATGAAAAATGGGGGCAAAAACAAAAGTGTTGCGTTTATAATTTTGTTCAGTGTATATGCATTTAATAAAAGGGCAAAGTACAAAAATAAAATACAAAAGTGGTGGGTCGCTAGGACTTGAGATCCACTGCTGTAAATCCACTGAATTAAACCCAGCATCCACACACATGCAACCTGCTGAAATGTGAAGATTATTGATTTTGTTGGAAGAGATAACCCTCAATCCAATAAAGCATGTTTTTGACTTTATATACTGACTTCCCATTAAAGCCAGAAGTGACTTAACTTGTCAAAAAAGGTTATTTTTATTGCTAGTGATTTTTTATTTATTAATTTTACTTTGCCCAAAAAAGAAAAGGTTAAAATACACAGTACCACTCTTCCACTGCCACTGATTCTTCAATCCTGAAGAGCTTGATTAGCCGGTTCAGGTGTGCTTGATTGGGGTTGGAGCTGAACTCTGCAGGAGATGTTCCCTCAAATAGTGCCCTATTTAAGGGTATAGGGGGCGATTTCGGACACAGCCCCAGTCTATGTGAACACTGCTTTGTTGCCTGACGGAAAACGTCAGGGTCTTTCATTGCTCAATGCAGGCTCTTTCTTGTTGCAGTTCAAGAGCCTGTCACACCAGATGGAAGTAACTACTTCATGTTACAAACGGCCATGTAATGTAATGTGAGAAATGTGACATAACTTAGCCACTTGTGGATGTCCTGCTCCATTCCAGACCAGTAAAATCTGATGATAACAGCAAGGTGACTTTTTCCCAAACCACAATGTCCTCCAAGGGAACTTGAGTGAAATTCAACAAAAATTATATTCAGAACCACTTTGGCCAGATGCTGACTCTGGTCCTTTCTTCAGCACCTTCATTTACAGGTTGATTGAACCAGAGATGTTCACAAGTCTTAAACTGGGAGTCTGAGTCAAGTCTCGAGTCTTTGGTCACGAGTCCGAGTCGAGTCGCAAGTCATTTAATGGCTCGCTAAAAAAAATCTCATTCAGAATCCTCATGTATTGAAATCTTCCTATTTACGAAGCTGTTTTAGGCACATGTGCACGCTTCAAAAACGGCGCTTATTGAGGACGCGCTAAAATTGATCGATTAAAATGTATTTATATAAATAGAATGGAAAATATAGATTGTACTGCATGTTAGCTTGCTTATTGTGCCCAAAAGCATAATTTATTTAAGCCCATATGTCTTACTAACAAGAAACTATGCTTTAACCACAGGTGGAGAGCTGTAGCTCCTACCACGCAAGTTTGCGACGCTGTTTGCGAATGTTCATTTGAACTATGGTTTCGGGAAACACCGAATCATTTAACTATGTTGGTAACGACGGAACTTGCGACCATAGTTGGCTAACGATGCTTTTGGGAAACCTACCCCAGGTCGGTTGGAAAACTGTCAGCAACCGGATCACTGCGATCATCAAAGACGAGTTCTGTGAACCGCTCCAAGACACTTTTGTTGATGTCTGAATCGCAGCGACCGACAAGGATTCCAGGTCGCCAGGTCGGTTGGAAAACTGTCAGCAACCGGATCACTGCGATCATCAAAGACTGAACCGCTCAAAGACACTTAGGTTGATGTCTGAATCGCAGCGACCGACAAGGATTTGAAAGTGTGCTAGGAGCCCTTGTGTCCTAACAGGCTATGTGTCGGAAACACATATTTAATAAACTAGTGTTTTCTGAGTCAGTATTGGCTGCAAAGATGAAATTGACAATGCTGACTCACCATCTCTGCAGTACAGTCTCATGTCTGTGCAGCAAGTAGCCTATATACACTGAGTTTCAATTCATTTTTGTGACCGTGATTGTGCCAGCGCCTCCATATCATACAGTAGCGCGCTAATAGCTTAACACAAACACAAACACAAACACTTGGATATGCGCCTGACAGTGCACATTTATCTATATTAACATTAGAGCGAGCGGCCATGTAAAGTTGCTACTTGCATGTTTCACTTTGAAATAAGCCATATTTGAGGTTGACGAGTGATAGGCGAACGCTTGGATTTCCGATATATT